CAAAGATGATCTGTGGTACCAAGTTGCTTAGCTTGGTCATCATTAATGATAATGATATCTGTTATATCACAAGAAAGTGGAAAAACACTATCATCTCAGGTGTGCAACATGCTTGCATTAAAAAATGCTCTAGAAAAATAGAAAATTGAAAGCAAGAGTTTCTTTTAATGCAGCAGTACAAACAACTAACCTGTAAGCATCTCGGGTGAATCCAACCTTGACTAAGGTTACGTTGTCAAGGATATATTAGCTATTTCAGTTTCTATTATTGTTTCAGATCGAATTTGCTTTCAGTACTAATAGTAGCCGCTTCATTGTATAGTAGTAAACTTTATCCAAACATTTTGGAGGCATTAATGTGTTCTCAAAATTGATTGCTTGAAAGTAAGAAATTTTATTTGAATTAATTATTTTTAATTGATTATTCTTTAATTTACAATACTAACATAATATTCGTAGCTAACTGCATCCGGAGGAGTATGAAATTGATGAAGATCTATTCCTTACTCATGAATTAGAACCTTAGAGGTATTTATTAAATTATATATATCGTTTAAAAGTTCAACTAATATACAATTTATTATTATTTTTCAGGTTATTAATGAAGAGTTGTCGACTTGACTACTTGAGAAGTTGAGAATTGAGGATCAATAACTTCTAATGAAAAAAAAGGGTTTTTATGTTTGGAGGACATTGAAACCATTTAAATATTTGGACATTCTGTGATTATGTATTTATGTTTGGAACTATTTTGTGATTATGTATATATGTCTGGAACTTTGGATATTTAAGACTTTTGGAGTTTGAACATTTTAGTTCTATTAATCTATTTATGTATTTTGACTTTGTTTAAGGATTCAAGTCTTAACAATTTAACATAACATTTGAACAATATATTTATCTTTTCATTCAAAAACGGCGCGGGGAATCGCAAGGTTTCCACTCCCACCCCGTTCCGTTACCATCCCTAGCTTGACTACCATTTTATTTGTGAAATGAAGTTATAGAAATATTTATAGCTCAATTTATTCTGTTATCTTTTCAATTGTAGATATTTTTAGAGATCCCTACTCAAGAATGTCTACATTTTCACCCTAACTTGAGGACACACGTTAAAGGAAATAATCATTATGTTGATTTTTTAATGAGAATCCCATGATTCAAGGGATGCTTATGGTGATCTTAGATATGGTTATAATTGTGTATATGAACTTTATACTACAATCAATAAATACAAATAAAGTGTATTCTCCCGAAAACTCTAACAAATTCTTTCTTCATCATACGGCTTCCAATATATATTCAAGAAAATCCAAATAATATTTTCTAATTTCATGTCATCAAAATGCTACAACCAAGGCCATTTTCTTATTCAGTTTTTTTTTTTTTGGGACTACTCTACGATATCTTGATTTCGTTTAGTACTCCTATAAAAATTTGCACATAATTTTTTTTTTGATCTCGTGCTTCATCAACAAAAATTGAAACATAGACCTAGTAGTTCGTACAACATTGTTTCACAAAGTAAGGGTTGAATTTCTCCAACTCTCAGTTTTTAACTAATGCACACTGAATGACCCAATGCAAAATCTTAAATGTATAAATTTTGCTTAGAAAGATGAGAAGGGACAATATTTTTTTTTTTAAGCAACAATATAAACACTGCAATTGCTAGTTTACATTGGATCTAAGCTCAGAAGGAATAGCGAAAAATAGAGAAGATGGGAGGTTTGAACGTGATAAGATTCAAAAACAAAAATCAAAACACACTAATAAAAAAAACTAAGTCTTGCAAGGTCAAGAAAAAAAAAATAACATAACTAAAATTTAAAATAAATACACATCAAAAGCTCAGTTGGGATAGGACCATCAATAATTTTATGCATTTCTGATTCTCCACTCGCAATGATGCTGCCTAATCCACAGCAGATTTGTCTCTTGACTGAGCATAGTATGTATAGAATTGGCGTTTGATTTCATGATGGAAGAGGGTTCTGATCACCAGCCACAAGAAGAATATAATTGAAACGCAGAAACGAAGATATTGGAAAGGTTTTGTGTGCTGCGAATTGAAGTGAAAGAACTGGGCAAGAAAGTGTGATGCAGTGATGGTGAAGAGATGGATGGACATTTATATAGAGGTAGATAGGAATCAAAGTGTTGTCTTTAATACTGGGAAATAGCTATTTACAATTAATAAAAGTAGAGAATTCTATATTGTAAGTCAGACTTGAGGTTAAAACGTTCTTGGAGAGAAGTTTTGAAAGGTGTGATTAGAAAATAGAAAATGGGAGGGGAGTGAAAAAGAAAAAAAAAAAAAAAACAAAAAAACAAAAACAAAATATGATAAAATAAAATTACACAAAAAAAAAAAAGAAAAAATTTACGGGCAAGCGCGAGATTTGCGTCTCACGCGAGGTGCATTTCCTTCTCTCTTCTTTCTTTCTTGGTGGGTTCCAATATGGAGACAAAAACCCAAGTCTTTAATGCAAAAACCTCATTTATTTTCTCTCCTATCACTTTTTCATCCACACCGGCATGACTTTCTCAAAAACCACACCAAAATGTATTGATGAGAATGTTATTAGTGTTATTCCTCAATTCTTTGAAAATAGTCGACAAATTATAGTAATATTTTAATAATTTTTAATTATAATTTTTTTTAATTATATTTGGTCCAAAAAATAATTTTTAATTATAAAATTATAAAATAAAAACTATTTTTCTATATTAAAGACATGCAACACTTTATTTCTATATTTCTATCACCACTATATATATATATAGTTGAGTTCAGGTGCGACCACACCAATAGTTCTGCAAATATACACCATCAACGTTAGAAAATGCACACAAAAAAGACACAATTATGTACGTATCACCAAAAATACACCATTAGGTATGAATAAAAGCACTACATAGTGTTCGAAAATGCAACATTAGGGGTGTGAAGTTATATGATGTATTTTTTTTTGGATGTATTGTGTATTTTTTGATGTATTTCTACATTTCATATATATATATATATATATATATATATATATATATATATATATATATATATTGACAGGGTCAGTTTTTTTATTTTTGTGGTTTCGTTCTTATAAATAAATGAGGCCCTACTAATTAGTTAATGATTTTGTCATGCACAATTAATTAGGTCCTAATTATTATGAGAGGTAAGTGATTTGGGAAAAAATTGATGACTTTTAGGACTAATTATAGATTTTTTTTATTTCTTAAATAGCTAGGTCAACAATAAATATTGGCGTTCTAAAATTTAAGGCCTTATGTTGTTGCCTATTTTGCACAGCCTAAAATCCGGCTATATATATATATATATATATATATATATATATATATATATATATATATATATATATATATATATATATATATATATATATATATATATATATATATATATATACTTAGTCCCTGAGTTATGACCGTATCTATTTTTAGTTCCTCAGTTATGAACAAAGTGGCGCATTTGGTCCCCGACCGTTAAAACTGACGGAAAAATTAAAAAATATTTAAAATTTGAGGGGTAAAGTAGGAATTTCACATTTTATTCTCCTTTTTATATCAAAACCAATTTCACAACATTATTTTTCACTTCTTAGCCTTTTATTTCAAGATTGTTCAATTCTAAAAGCATTTCAATAAATTTTGTATGAATTGTTAGGAACATGGCTCTCATATAACAAACTTAAGACTTAGCACAAATAAAGAAACACTTGATCATTGTTTTCATACGTGTGAAACACACTATCCTATCAATTTACAATTTTCTTTACTAAGAAATAAATGTAATCAAACTAGAACTTTTGAGATACAAAATGATGTCAAAATTTTCAGGTTGGGTTTTATGATAAATTCACCAACGGAATAATTTAAGATTTTTAGTATGTAAATTTTTTTTCATATACAGTAGTCTAGTTAATAATCGTTTTTAGAAGTTACAAAAATTTTTAGAATTTTCATAACTGAGTCTTAGGTTCCTCATTCATTACTCTGATTTTTAAGAAGACAAAGGACGTGATGGATATGTATATAATATAATTTTCATATATTGTTATGATATACAATTCTTGATTAAGTTACTGTAGAGCTTACGAAAGAATTTTACGTACTAAAAATTTCAAGTTACTCCCTTAGTGAATTTGCAGCCATAAAAATAACTTGAGAAATTTGATATCTTCTTGTATTTCAAAAGTTATAGTTTGATTATCATTATGTTTAATAAGGGAAATCAGAAACTTTTAGGATGATATGCTTTACATGCTTGAAGACAATGATAAAATGTTCTCTTGTTTGTACTGAGTCACAAGTTCCTTATACAACACTCGGGTTACTAACAAGTCAAACGAAGATTATTGAATTGTTTTTGGAATTGAAGAACCTTAAAATAGAATGTTAGGAAATTGAAAATAATGTTGCAAAAGTTGTTTCAATACAAGAAAGTGAATAAAATGTGAAATTCCTACTTTACCCCTCAAATTTTTAAATATTTTTTAATTTTTCCGTCAGTTTTAATAATCAGGGCCACATGCGTCACTTCGCTCATAACTGAGAGATTAAAAATGGATACTGTCATAACTCATGGACTGAGTCGTCACTATCATTATAACTCAAGGACAAAACTCGTCATTTTTCCACATATATATATATATATATATATATATATATATATATATATATATATATATATATATATATATATATATATATATATATATATATATATATATATATAGAGAGAGAGAGAGAGAGAGAGAGAGAGAGAGAGAGAGAGAGAGAGAGAGAGTTGGGTTTAAAGTACGTACCGAGAATGTGTAATCTAATCTGGTCCGTTTAATTATTTAATTTAAAGATATTATATAGTTGGGTTCAAAGAACGTACTGAGAATGTGTAATCTAATCTGGCCTATTTAATTATTTAATTTAAAGGCTGTGATTATTCTCCTTTAGCTATCCTTTTCGAATCCATCTTCTTCGTTCTCAGTCGTTATCCTCCTCGGGTTGAAGCCGTGCGTTGTTATTGCTTGGTAGCATCGTGTTTGTGCTCCATGGCCGGCGATCTCCATCGGCGTTCAACGACACGGCGTCGTGGGTTTCTAGCAGTCGAACCAGGTACACCTCCACCCCCTTTTTTCCCTCTTCCGACGGCGTTGTGTATTTTTGCTTTGTAGCTGTAATTGTTGTCTTCTTTGTTGATTGGGTTTGGATTATTGTGCTTGTTCTTCCATGGCGTGTGTATTAGGGTTATATGCTTTTGCATTCCAATTTGGGGTTTTTTTGATTAATCTGGATTTTAGGCATGTTTGCTGATTAGCTTAATTTGTTTATACAATATACATGTTTGCTGATTAGCTTAATTTGTTTATACAATATACTGGCGGGTGGTTATTGTTTCTTGCGGGCGTTTCTGTGGATGGTTGGGAGTTTAATTTGTTCATCATATTGGAGGCGAATTCTGCATTTCTGGGAAACAAAAAATCCAACGCCATTAATTGGATATATTATATGCTCTGGCTTGCAGTATGCCTTTCTAGCTTTTGTTTGTTTGTTTTTGCTGCTCCAAATAACCCCATCCAGATTTGGCTTGCTCGCATGTCTAACAAGGCCAGATATGGTGATGTTCCAGCAAGTAGCTCGATATGTATGCTTAAGTTTTTTTTAGAACTAGGGCGTGCTTCTCATGCAACATTTATGGATTTAATTAATCCGGTGGTCATAATTATCAAACCCAAATAAAATAGAAATGAATAAGTGGATAATAAGGATAAATGACAAAGTAACTAGATAAATATACGGAAAGACAAGGACATATATCACGGAGATAAATCTTGTATGATGTATGTTGTAAGATGATTACAATGGATTGTGTGTTTTACCATGAATTAGATATGTCCTAATGGGACAATTATAAGGATATATATAATAACAAGCTTCCTAACCGCCCTCCTAAAAATGAGGGATCGGTTGCAACAATTTTGAGTTTTGACCATGCTTGGTCCCGCGACTGGGCCTACAGGCTGCTAGCCGACTAGCCGAGCCCCCCGTCGAGGCCCTGATTGGGCCCGGCTCTGGCTTAGGTCGAGGCCCAGGGCTCGACTATGGCCTAGGTCGAGACCCAAGTTGGGCTCGGCCTAAGTGGCCTGGGTCAAGCACGGGGATTCATCCCGAGTCTACTCGAATCCTTTTTGCTCCGTTCCTCCAGGACGAGTTGCACCAACCTTATTCTCAATATATCCATCATTAGTCTCCGAGCTGCTAGAAGTTGTCCGTGAAGAGTAATCACGAGCAATGTTCTGACCTGTCCTCCGAGAGTTTTATCATGTAAGTAAATATTTACAATAATATTTCAAATGCATGACCAAGGTGTGAGGAGAATAAATTCTCAAACATATTTTCCCAATTGCGATTTAAATAGATTTTTATCGCAAAGAGACTCCTCCTCCTACAAGACCCCTCAAAATATCATAGAGTCCCAATAGGACTTGTCTTCCTCCCCTATAAAACCTTGGAAAGCCCACAAGTCACATCAATCATCCCTCCCCACTTCCCCAAGAACAATTCAAATTTCAAAAATGAAGACTAGCATCCTCTCTCTTATCCTTTTCCCCTATTTAATCATCCTCCCCCCCTTTTTCGGCCATCGGCCCCCTCCCCCTACCCCAAATCGACCGAGTCCGGGTTAGTTTTCTTCTTTCTTCCTCTCTCTCGTACGCCCTACATTTCAAAGAGCCAAACTATGCTACTAGATATATCCAATACAAGCAAAAGCTCATTGTTGCAGTGCCCACAATTGACTTGAAAGCATTAAAACCTTTTGGTCTGGATACACTGATTGATAAATTGGTCACAACATTAGAATGAAGATACTTCTTGTTTGACTTTCAAGAGAGGACTCACACCTACATGTTGCATGAAGCGTTGGTCACAATGGAAGTGTTTCCTTTCACTCTTACCACTGCCTGAACAATAACTTTCAAGTTGGGCAGCACTAAGTTTGACTTACTCTGGATGATTTGAGCCGGTGCATGGGTTTTGATGCTTTACAAGGATTATCTGAATCCCAAAAGAATGCATGACACACTAATGTCCCTAATGAAGTGGATTCTGGCATGAAATAGTCGAAGGGGAAGTGGAACTGGAATACTTTCGAAACACCAAATTTAAATTCAAAAGAAGGGAGTATAAAGTCTTGCAATATATTGTTTCTCGTTCCATTTGTGCCAGACATGACACAACGAACCGGATGTACCAACCTGATTTTCTTTGCCTTTACGACATCGTTAAGAAGGAATCGGTTTATTTATTTTATATCATCGGAATGTTATTTCATAACCAGTCCAAGTCAAATGTTCACACTCTTTACATTGGGTCATTCTTGACTTGATTGGTAAGGGTAGTGGGAAAGCGGTGAGAATCTCATTGCCATCATCTGTTGGAGTACAAAAGATCACAGAACGCAACATTCTCAACATTTTCAAACCTGAGTCAAGCAAGAAAAAAGGAAAGAGACAAAAGACTGATGAGGAGGAAGAAGAACATGCAGAATCTGATGATAATCAGTCTATGGGAGCAGCTGCGGGAAATTGAGAAGGAGCATCCTCTGCAACAAATACTTGCAGAGGATGCCCCATCTCAATTTCCCGCAGCTGCTCCCATAGACTGATTATCATCAGATTCTGCATGTTCCTCTTCGGCTCTTCCATGAGATTCTCACCGCTTTCCCACTACCCCTTACCAATCGAGTCAAGAATGGCTCAATGTAAAGAGTGTGAACATTTGACTTGGACGGGTTATGAAATAACATTCCGATGAGATAACCTAAATGAACTGATTCCTTCTTAACGATGTCGTAAAGACAAAGAAAATTAGGTTAGGACATCATGTTCGTTGTGCCATGCTTGGCACAAATGGAACGAGAAACAATATATTGCAAGACTTTATGCTCCCTTCTTTTAAATTTGGTGTTTCGGGAGTAATCCACTTCCCCTCCGGCTATATCATGCCAGAATCCCACTTCATTAGGGGCATTAATGTGTCGTGCATTCTTTTAGATTCAGATAATCCTTATAAAGCATCAAAATCCATGCACCGGCACATATCATCCCGAGTAAAGTCAAACTTAATGTTGCCCAACTTGAAAGTTATTGCCTGGGCAGTGGTAAGAGTGAAAGGGAACACTTCCATTGTGATCAACGCTTCATGCAACATGTCAGTGTGAGTCCTGTCTTGAAGGTCAAACAAGAAGTATCTCCATTCTGGTATTGTGACCAATTCATCAATCAGTGTATCCAGCCTACACAGGTTTTAGTGTCTTCAAGTCAATTGTGGGCACTCAAGCAATGGACTTCTGCTTGTACGGCATATATCTAGCAGCATAATTTGGTTTTTTGAAATGTAGATTGTCCGTTCCAAAGTTTGGTGGGGTTTTTGTAGCTTCTCGTTGTGCCACCGGTTTAGTTCTTCTCATCTTCAAGAAAATATGACAATTATTATAAGAGGAAACTAAAACCACCAATTATTGAGAAAGATATGCAATATATATATATATAAGATAGCCAAAGAATTTACAAGTTTGAGTGACGGCTGTCCTTCACTTGCAGAAACCTTCTGCCTAGTATTTTTTTTTTTTAAAGAAGAAAACTACACAATTCTAAGCAATATTGTCACAGGAAACACAAAGGAACAAGGTGGCAAGCACGAAAAAGTGAAAAATAGCAGAGATTAAACAAGAATTGCATAGATTAAACAATCAAGGGCATGCTAGTAAAGAAAATCAAGATTCTGAACCATAGCACAAACACAGAAAAAATTGAAGTAAAAAGGAGAAACATACCTTGGCTACTTAGGAGAGTTGAAGGGGAAATTAAGAAGGGAGATTTCTGCTCAGTATATACACTGCTCGAACTGGGAAAAAAATGAAAGAAAAAGTGTGTGTGTGGGGTGAAGGAAGGTGGAAAAGAATGGAAGAGAATGTTTTGGGAAGGGGGAAGATTGAGGGAATAATGGGAGATTTTGTAAGGAATATGGCAGGGAAAAGGGGTCACGGGAGAGGGAAGGAAAATAAGGGAGAGAAAAAGATGCTGCAAAAGTTGTGATTTGATTTTGATTTTGATTTTTTTTTTTTTTTTTTTTTTTTTACCTGGGATGTGTACTGGCAAAGGGATGGGCGTACCAGTGGCAGTACGTGTTTCAGTGTTTGCCCAGTTTTCTTCTGCTTTACCCCTGCAATTCACTCAAGATCTATGGCCTAAATTAGTTCAAAGCTTAATCAAAACACCACCATGCAAATCCTTCCCAACACCCTCCTAAATCCTAAACAATTAAAATCATCTCTCAACAATCACTCTCCAAATAAATCCACTTGGAATCAAATTTTTGAGGTTTATTATTGGATATTTGAGGTTTATTGGTTATTATTTTTCATGTGTATTGTATATTGTATATTCTTCAAATTAAAAAAAAAAAAAAAAAAAAAGGAAAGAGGTCAGCAAAAAAAAAATAAAAAAAAAACACTCGGGACATAAGGGAGGCACCACTCGGAGCATAGTGGTTGGCCTAAGGCACTCATCTCCGTGAGGCGGCAGACATTACTTGGAGCACAGGAAGGAGGTCCGACCTTTGCCGTCGAAGTGAGCGTGTAGGTGTCCTGGCTTGTGTGCCGTGTGACCATGCTGCCTTAAATAATCACTTGGTGTATGGCAGGGTCGGGAGTCAATCAGTCACCCCTCACAGTGAGGTTACCTGGTAGTCAGTCACCCCTCGAATGCGAGACGGTTGGCTGATTTTTATTAGTTTTATTTGAATCTTGCAGGTTTGGACATATGAAGCAAGATATTAAGGGACTGTCACGTACTAGGAGTGGTCAACTAACTTAAGATAAGCAAACTAATTGGTCTGGACAATACCCACTTAGTGGGGCGCATCTCACGAAGATCCACTTAATTGATGTCTTAAATTTTGCAGGATGTTGAAATGCTCAGTGGTCGGCTAACATGCTAGGTGGTCGGTCGGAGAGCTCACATTCTAATTCTATTGTTTCCAAAGTATTAAAGATTAGAGCTCATAAAGAAGGTACACACCTCGTGTGTTTTCCTTTAATTTAACTAGTTTTTGAGTTTTGTAGGATGTGCTCAATGGTCGGCTTACAACCTCAGCGGTCAGCCTTGGGTCTTAGTAGTAGGCCTTCAACCACGGTGGTCAGCTTTCAGCTTCAAATGGTCAACATATATTATCTACTCTACCACCTCTCGGGGGTTGGCCTATGTTCTCTCTCACCTCTAAGTGGTCGAATTTCTTGTAGAGGTAGTCGAATTTTCCACGGATTTGGTTAGAAGTGATCAGATTTCTTATGGAGGGGGTTGAATTTCTCGCAAGGGTGGTAGGAATTCCACTCTAGCTAAATATAGCGCTTATGGTTGTACTCTTTTTCCCTTAGCTAAGTTTTTTTCACTAGGTTTTTCTTATTCTAAAGTTTTCTCAGCTCTGACTTAAGGGGTTACCCTTAGACCGTTCAGTTTAACGATTGTGTCCAAAAGGACCACCACATGAATGGGCACACCCATTCAATGATTTGTTGGCAAGGAGTAAAACTAGATGGACAAAAAGGGGAACTTGGTATTTTGCAGATAAGCTAATGGATGAGGTTTTTAGAAGCAGGGAACTGCGCAGAGATATTTTTCCGAGAAGTGAATTTTTCACTTTTCGTAGGATTGAAGCAATTCCATCAGAAGGTAGAATTAAATTATAAAGTGAAAAATCAACTTTTCAGTGGATTGAACATGTTTTAATTATTATTATTATTATTATTATTATTATTATTATTATTATTTTTATTTTTATTATTATTATTTTGTTACTAAAGTATCTTATTAAATTTTGAGCTATGAAAAAAGAAAGACTTGTAAATTTACCAAAACATTTTTAAAAATGAACCATTTTTACACATTTTCATTTTCTATGAAGGCATTTATGTAATTGAATGTAATATAACTTAAATGAGTAAATACCACCTATGGTCCCTCGAGTTTGGTGGCATCGCCATCAATGGTCCCTAATTTTTGTAATTACTGGGCGTCATCCTCCGAGTTGCGAAAAGTGGCCTTCAAGGGTCCTTCCATTTGTTGTTCCTGTTTGAGACGTCAAAATGGAGGGCAAAAGAGTCATTTGACTTTATGTGTACGTTTTAATGCATTTTACAATTATTTAACCGAGCTCTCATCTTTCGAACGACCGAACCTTAATCTTCAGAGCAGTTCATCTTCTTCATCTTTTTCAAGTAATTTCATGAGCAACAATGTCATCTTCTTCAAGTACTTCAAGGAGGAGATATAATTTTGGAGATTCCATACACAGTCATGAGTGTCAGTGCGGGAATCAAGTGGTGCTTCGAATGTCTTGGACAGATCGCAATCCGGGTAGGAGGTTTTGGCAATGCTCTGAATTCGGTCAGGTAATCTTAGAATTTGCAATATCGAATTTATAAGTTTTTGAATTCAGTTTCATTTTTCCAGATTTGAATTTTATAAATTCAATTTTGTTTTGTTTTTTTTTTTTTTTTGTTTTTTTTTTGTTTTTTTTGTTTTTTTGTTTTTGTGGTTTTAGGGAGGCAACGGTTGTGGTTTCTTTGATTGGGCAGATCCTCCAATGTGTTCACGGGCAATCAGTATAATACCCGAACTTTTGAAGAGGATAAATAGAGACAAAGAAGAGATTGAGAAGTTAAAGGCTATGCTAGAAGTTGCTACTAAGACAAATGTAGTCCTGTCTATGAAATATAAATGTTGCAAATTCGCAATTGTAATCATCTTTGCAATTGGATTCGTAGTTCATGTGTTTAGCAAATGTAGTTCTCAATCAATCGCAGTTGTCAAAATGCTTCTAGGCAATTAATGTTGTAACCTGATTTGGACCATTTAATGAAATGTGTTTGAAGTCTTTAGTTAAGCACCATGTTATTGTAGTGTCTTTGTTGTCTGTATAGGTAAGCAGAATGGTATTGAAGTGTGTTTGGAGTGTGTTTAGTCAAGAAACCTTAACAATAAGTTAAGCACAATAGTAGGACAATAAAAGCCAATTGAGCAACCATTTCATTTGTGCCAAAGTAACATACAATTGTGCCAAAATAAGAGTTTACTGCTCTAAGACTTAACTGCCAAAGTTACTGCTATACAAAAAAGAGTAACATACAACTGTCTAGTCTAACTGATTCAGCAGTTTTGCCACCAAAAAAAACATAACTTAAACAGTACTGTTAATCAATGCTTATAGGATCATCACTTGTGTTTTTGAATTTTGATTTCATCTTTGCCACGAGTGTTATATTTCCTTCCTTGACTTGCATTGGCTTGCAGCTTCTTCTTTGTTGGTTAACTCACTTGTTGGCTATCTTCTTCTTCTCCAAGAGTTGGTGGCTGACTTGTAATTGGTATTTCCTCAGCGTTCACTTGTGGTTGCAATGTTTGGTTTTGAAGCACTTGAGACACCACTGCATCAATATCAATGTTTGCTAACCAATTATCATCTTCATCTTCAAGTGTTGCATCAGGCAGTGTAGGAACCACCATTTGCCTTGTTTCTTGTGCAGTTTCAGACTGTGTAGCTTTACTGTGTGTAGCTTCAGTGTTTGTAGGTTTCTTAGCCTTTACCCTAACTCTTTTATTTGGATTGGCCTATGACAGAAATATCACAGCAGGATCATAACTAAATTTAAGCTATAAGAAAATTTAAAACAGGTTATAAGCTATAAGAAAATTGAAAGCCATAACACTTACCAATCTCTCCCTAACAGCAGGATCTTCTGGGCATTTTCTTTTGTTGTGGCCTTCTTTCTTGCATTTGGTACAATGCATCTTCACATGGCTCCTTTTCAAATGGATACCATCATTGGAGACCTCATCACCTGCCTTTTTTTTCCCAGATTTGGATACCTCAGCAACCCCCTTCTTTTTCCCAGATGTGGATATCTCATCAATTCCCTTGTTTCTTCCTTTTTTGGGTCTTCCTGGCTTGGCAGTGTATACAGGTGGAAGAGGTGGCTTTCTATCAGTTTCAGACCACTCAGTAGGACCTGCCATAGGCTTGATGTTTCCTCCATAGGACCTCAAGTATGTTTGTGTGAAATAACATTGGTGGACATAGTCATTGACTGGACCCTTACCATGCTTCATCCAAATGGCACTTATAGCGTCTACAAGGAATACCAGTCAAGTCCCAACTCCTACAAGTACATGTCATTCTACCCAAGTCTATTTCATGCTGCTCAAATTCACTATAAATCACCCCACGTGTCTCAAACAAGTTGTCATCACTCTGTATGACTGTATACCCATTGGCTTGTTTTTCATACTGAGCTATTTTCTTCACAATCCTAGGGCATATAGGGCCAGTCCATTTCCATGCCTCTTTCCTACACTGATACAGCCTATGCATAATTTTCTTCCTCGATATTTCAAGGCAGCTAATTAAAGGCTTCTCTCTAACATCTAAAATAACATAATTATAACACTCACAAATGTTATTTACTAAGATATCACAATGTGCATTTGTATTAAAATGTGACCTAGACCACTCTGAAGGGTGTTTTTCAACTAGCCATTCATATGCCTTGGAGTCAATGGTCTTCATCTTCTTCATTGCAGCTGTGAAGGTGTTAACTGTTGTGGCCCTAGCAGCATCCCATAAACCATCTATAATTGTCTTTCCAGTGAAGCCAGCTAGTTTCATGTTCCCATGTAAATATCTCACACAGAATCTGTGAGTCACAGCTGGAAGAACTTCATCAAATGCAGGGAGTAAACCCTTTTGCTTATCTGCAAAACAAATGGTAAACACTTAGAAATAAATGAATGCAAAACAAATGGTAAGCTTTTAAAACTATAAGATATGCATGTTAATTCCAGTTCACATACCTGAAATAAATGTTAATTCCAGTTCATCAGCAGGAGTTATTGCAAGATCTGACTTAAGATGTTGTAAAAACCAAATCCAACTTTCCTTATTCTCTCCTTTAACATGTGCATACGCAAGAGGAAACACACTATCATTTCCATCCACTCCAATAGCTAACAACAACTGACCCTCATGCAATCCCTTCAAATGACACCCATCCACTCCAATAATAGGCCTACAGTACTTATAGCCTATTTTACATGCTTCCCAGCACATGTAAAATCTTTTGAACCTTCTATTGCCATCATCTAGTTTATCACCCAACTTTACATGGTATTTGCTACCTGGATTAGTCCTGTCAATCTCCAAGCAGTAACTCCATAGTTTATTAAAGCATTTTTATTCTTCACCATAAATGGCAGCCCTTGCTTTCCTCATTGCCCTCCATGCTTGCCTTCTCGATATTGAGATTCCATCAGTAGTTGACACCTTTTTAAGGAATTCAGATGCTGTCCAGTTGGAGTTTGATGCAACTTCATTCTTCCACCTTTTTGCAATAGTAGTTGAGTTAGCCATGTAGTTTATGTTATTCCAACAACAACCATCATGCTTGTCATTGATTGCTGTAATCCTCCAGTCATTTTCTGATGCTTGTTTCCATAGTGTAATCCTCCAAGGACATTCAGTTTCATTGCACTCAACAATGCACCTAACCTTATTATTTTTGATGTACAGAATTTCCTTTCCTTTATTCATTGCATAATTATAAATTGCCTCCTTAAATTCTGCCTTGGAACCAAATGTTAATACAAGACAGAATGTAGGTGTTGCCATCTCAATTTTCCCTTTAAACATTGGCAGTTGATATTCTTTTTCCTCTTCATTATCACTGTCTTTCTCATTGCCTCATCTAAAAATTTTATCTCCAAATCTTCATTAACTTGAACTGCCAAAGCAGTTCCAGCATCATCTAAGCCACCAAACTCAGCAGTTGGATCAACAAATTGCTCAAACTCTATGTCATCTAAATCCACAGAACTTTGATCAGAATCAGCATCCTCCTCACTTTCCCATTCACAGTCACTTTCAGGATTAGCATCCTCAACACCCTCAGCACCATCAGCACCCTCATCACTTTCAGCACACTCAGCATCCTCATCACCCTCATGCACAACCCAAATCTCTATTTCATTATGCACCTCTATTACTTTGACTAAATCCCATACTTCATAATCAGAAACTAACTCTATCAACCCATTTGATAGATTCACAAACATCTTCATGCTATCTATTATTTCATAACCCAAACCCTTAACCTTATCTCTAAGTGTGAACAATCCCCACTCATTCACATCAATGATAGAGAAACTACTAATCTGCCCTCCAACATAACTTGCTTTATGAGTTTTATTTATCCTACCACCATGCCTTAAATTCAAAACAAAACCACCACCAGGAACATTACCTGTACACCAAAGTAGCCACAAATAGGCTCATTACACACTATTATATAAGCAGGCAGAAATCTGGATTTCAAATGGTTTACTATCCCAAGCAAAGTGGTCCCTAGACAGAATATAATACACATAAAGGCAATAAACAAATTTAACTTTTAACCCAGCCACAACATATGTGCTTTCAACCCTCTGTGGTCCCCAATTTAAAGCCAACCCATCCACAATTATTTACAGAACAAAAAGACACACTATCATGTGCTTTCAACCCTCTATGGTCCCCAATTTCACCCCAACATATGTGCTTCCAACATAAATAACCAAAAAAAAAAACACAAAAATTATACTTTAAACAATATATGCAGTTCATGGTCACCCACCACCTAGACAGGGCCCCCATGTTCCCATAAACAAAGCCCAATACTATACTTTAAACAAATGCAGTTCACATACTCAAATTTTTAACAACAACAACCAATACATATACGAGGTTTCCGTAACACAAAGAAATCCCTACTTAGTTAGTTCACATACCATTCGACTGTCATTGTGGAGAACCCATGACCTCGTTGAAGTGTGCCCTATTCTCGCCTTGAATTCTGACCTTGAAATTGCTACTTCGTCGATGAAGAATCCGCAACTTTTTCCTTCGCAATCGCCACTAATTTCGATTGAGATAGCGTTTAGGGTTTGAGAGTTGGTAATTTGGGAATCAATTGATGGACGTTTGTTCTCCAAATAATTGTAAAATGCATTAAAATGTTCGCATAAAGTCAAATGACTCTTTTGCCCTCCATTTTGACGTCTCAGACGGGAACAACTAACGGAAAGACCCTTGAAGGCCATTTTTCGCAACTCGGAGGATGACGCCCGGTAATTACGAAAGTTAGGGACCATTGATGGCGATGCCACCAAACCAGAGGGACCATAGGTGGTATTTACTCTAACTTAAATATAACCTCCAACCACACAAGTTAATATTATATTTCTACAACTTTAATCAAACATATCAAGTAATAATCTTAAATTTCTTTAATCTCAGCTCACATAACCTTCATGGAAGTAATCCAAGAATCTGTGAACCAAACAAGTCCTCCGAGTAAAATTGGAAAGTCATGCCATTGCACCTACTATTTCTCACACATGAAAATAAAATTTTAATTTTCTTTTTCTAGTTGCCTGAATTTCACTAGAAAAAGTTTAATACTCAAAGACTAAATTTGATAGTTTTAAAAGTTAATGACTAAAATTGAAAATGAGTTATTATTATTACAATTGGAAAAATTCAATACTACAAGACTAAATTTGATAATTTTAAAAGTCAATGACTAAAATTGAAAATGAATTATAGTTAGATGATTAAAATTGAAATGAGTTATAGTTTTTATTATTATTATTATTATTATTATTATTATTATTATTATTATTATTATTATTATTATAGTGTAAACAAAAATAAATTTAAATAAATAAATAAATAGAAAACCAATAATAATACAGGTTCTCCTAAAAATAAATAATAATAATAATAATAATAATAATAATTATTATTATTATTATTATTATTATTTTATCAAATACATTTATAGTACGTAACAAAAA